AACAAAAATGAAAAGCAACATCAACTTGTTCACCAAATTTTCAACCACAACATAAGAAAGAAGCATACACATCCAAATGAGAATATATAAGGTAGGATGATAAGTTCCCTAGATTAAACCTCAAACCTACATCTATAAGAGTTCACAAGCGAATTGCTCCCCTGAGAATTTGATTTCTTAATCAGTTTCCAGGCAAGTACGATGGCCATTCTTTAAGAGTGAAATGAAACTATATACACTGGTATGTCTTATTAACTGAGTTCAGCGCTACTCGTGTACAATTAGTATTATTACTGGTGCACCCAAACAAAGAGTTTTGTCTGCCCAAAATTCTCCTAGTTGATAATATCTGGTGGAAAAGACCCCTTGATAATTGCAAAAATGAAAGTTCCCTAGAAGGTTTAGATTTGGAGTTAAAGAATCATGAACTTATCTGAACTAGAGATAAAATTACAGGATGTCATTACCAGGTAAATAATCAGAATAACTATTATATATTGTCAAGTTTACATCTCCTCCTTTTAACGCCAGCGAAATTTGGGGAAAAAACGAAAGACATCATAGTATAAAATTAGGCAAATAAAATTACTGAATAAGTAAACATACCAAACCATCCTTTGGATTCAGCAACTGTCCAGTAACTCTGTGCCTCACTCCGAGGACCAGCATCTTTGCGAGTCTCTCCACCGCTAAACAGAAGCAAGGCCTCATCATCCTGTGAGGTGCTTTCTATCCCTTCCTTTATGTGAGCTACAAAGGTTGCAGCCTGGCCTGGATTCTTCTGATAAGACTCTAAAAACCAAGAATCCTCCTTATCAACTTTTTCACAACTATTACTAGTATAAACCGAATGCCCAGCAACCATTACAAGATTCTTAAGCTTGGCAAATGGATAATTATCACCAAAACCATTATCAAGTTTCTTATAATTACTCATCACCTTAGAGTGGTGCTCGTATAGAGATAAAACTACGAGGAATGTAACACCAAATGCCAAGGAAAATAGAGAAAACAAAGAGTGGGTGCCGCTTGTAATAGTAATGAAGCTGGTTACCCCAGGACTTGATCATTCTAACAAGGTAAAATGATGATTTTCTACTCCTGGCTCTTTTAGTAGTTCCTGATTCTAAATCAAAGCCACCCCGTGGATATGCATTGAAGGATTTAGGACTGCTTGTCCCAAATGAAAAATTATTCATGATAATTCAAATCCAGCTGAAAAGCATCGAGATTATGCAAATTAACCATTCCCAGATACGCAATCGGATGGACTGACAAATTAGGATAATAACTTGTGATTCAAATCCACAAAACTAAGCATAAACAGATGTTGATCATCAAAGTTGCAGTTCTTTTTTCGCAGCATAGGAATGTAGAAATGGATTTGTAAAGCAGATAAACAAAATGGGTTGGTTCTCCTTGAATTCTAAGAGTGAACTCACCAAAATTCTGGTAGGAGAATGTGAATGATGTAGATTAGAGTGAACATGGAATGAGAGTAGTAGTTAATATGTTCCAGGGAGATGGCTAAAAAGATTAGAAAATCAGATCCAGAATTTCAGAGATCTACAGATTATTTCGGAGCTTGGAACGTTGAAATCAAGCAAAGTCTTCTATCAACAAAAAAAGAAAAGAAAAAGCAAAGTCAGATCAGATGATTACCTTTTTCAGGCTCAAAAAATCCAGAAAGCTAAACAATAGCAGCCCAATTTTGATGTTTGGGTATCCAACTTGCCAACCAAATAAAAAATAATTAGGACCATTTGGTCGGCGGAAAAAATACTAAAAGAATATTTTTTTTAATAACAATAGGCATAATGTCATAAATTAGCCCTAATGTTTATAAAAAATATCATTTTGCTCCATATTCTATTTTTTTGGAGCATTTTGGCCTCCTAAAATTTAATTTTTGGGCAAAAAGACCCCTAACATTTGACATAATAATCACTTTGTCCCTTATTATTTTTTCTAGGGCATTTTAGCCCTTAACGTTTCGTTTTAAGTTAAAAAAATGCTCTTGTTTTAGAATGTTAATCGTGTGTTATCTAAGAAATTTCGTCTATAGAGGGAGTTTTTTGCCCCAAAGTGAAAAATTGGGAGTGAAAATGCTCCCAGAAAAAGAATAGGGGCCATAATGACCATTTTAATAAACAGTGGAGGCTATTTTTGGCATTATTCAGCTTTTATCATTTTAAATTATGAAAATGAAATTGAAAAATATGTTGTAAAAAGAGAACATAGCCCTCTATAAAAAGCTCTAATCTTATGTAAAAGGTGACAACTTAATTAGGCCTGTAAACGAACCGAACGCACACAAACGGATGTATGTTCATGTTCGTTCATTTAATAAATAAGCGAACATAAACGAACACGAACATAAACGAACAAATTTTTTTTTGTTCATGTTCGTTCATTAAGGAATATAACTTGTTCATGTTCGTTCATTTAATAAATAAACGAACATAAACGAACACAAACATAAACGAACACGAACATAAATGAACACGAACATAAACGTTGGAGACCCTACCTTCCATTGTTCTTTCATGAAAAATAGTCGACAATGCAAATCAACCAAATCTACAGTGATAATAGCGTAAGAGCTGATTAGTAGTGATGAAATGTTTAAAGATATCAGATATTTCGATCAATCTTTTAAAGATATTAAATGATTCACACAACTTTAGAGTTAATTTGTTCAAACACGACAAAAACATACATAAATCATAAGTAAACTATATGAATATAATAAAGTCTTAAAGTTAATTTGTTCAACAAAACAATCTTCTTGAAATCCAAACAACTTCAATAATATTCGTAACATATTCAACTTGCATTCATGATCAGTCGTTAATTCATCATCCATCCTGATCAAAATCAAACAAATAAAATTATATTAAATTAAAGGAGTTATAACAAAAGATGAAAAATATACTAAATTAGCGAGGTTATACCAATTCATTCATCCTCATTTTCAAGGAATCTCAACATGTATGATATCTTCGTTTTGCTACAACAAATCAAAAAACCAAAAATATATTAGTCATTGTAAAACCAAATTCAATAAAACTTAAAACATAAAAATACCTTGTTTTTATTTTTCTCCAACCCATAGTATTGACGATACCAATCAGCTCCACAAACAAGCATATCTACCATCTTAGTTCCTAAAGAGGATCGATGCGGATCAATATCCCTCCCACCAGCACTGAAAGTAGATTCAGAAGCAACAGTAGTGACCGGAATTGCCAATATGTCAACAACCATTTTTGACAAAATGTTAAATTTAATATTGTTCTCCTTCCACCATCCCAGTCCACAATCTTCATCTTTCCCAAGCCCCAAACCTTCCTACCATGCGAGTCCCTCATCTTCCTTATGCCTGAGTCTGACTCGTTTCAATTCAAATACCTCGACTCACCTCCTTCCATTCCTCCGCAACATTGCAGCCATATCCAGCAGCGCTCCACTGACCTCGCCACTTTTTTCCCCCACTAGAGGATATAAGCGCAAATCTGACTGGGACTCCCTAAGGGCAACTCTAATGCGAATGACTGGGCAACGAGGGGTGGGCTGGAGAAGACTGACTGGTCGAATGCACCGTTCATAGCGGCGTACAAGGGGTTCCACACCATTCAAGATGCCACAAAAAATCCCTAAATTCACACCCCAAAATTAACAGACCAAAAAAAATTCAAATTATTTACCTTATGAAATCACGTTCAAGAAGGGAAAGAGATGAAGCTCTGTCGAATCGTTGTAGTTGAAGACTTGAAGCTACGTCGAATCGTTGCATAAATGAAAATTGTGGAGGGTGGGGAGAGTTGAGAATCAAGAACAGCTGAATGACGGGTTGGAGAAGAGTTGAGAAAATATTATTTTTAGATTTAGGGTTTTTTGTATTACCGCTTAATCAGGCTGTAAAATTGGGTTAATTATGAAGTTGGTCATCAAAATATCATATTAATTAATATTTTTAAGATACATACAAATTGGTCACCAAAATTGATTTAAGAATATTAGGTTAAACATAAATGAACGCACATAAACGAACATAACTAAACGCATATAAACGAACATAACCGAATGTTCACGAACGTAAATGAATGAACGAGACCTATGTTCATGTTCGTTCATTTAATTAAACGAACACAAAATCTTGTTCATGTTCGTTCATTTAATAAATAAACGCACATAAACGAACTTCCCGCCGCACGGTTCATTAACGGTTCGCTGAACGTTCAGTTCATTTATAGGCCTAAACTTAATCTTCCATTCTAAATTAAGAATACAATTTCTTTTGTTTTAATTTCAAATTTTATTCCGTTTTTATCTTTTAAAGTATATATTAGAGATATATAATTTTAGTCGTTTATATGTACTTATCCAACGATCCTAAAGCATTGGAGTTATTCTCCAACATGACTTATTAGCTTGTGTGTTCATATCTTTCAGAAAAAAAACTTCAATACAACACCTGGTAAATAATTTCAATACCAATCCTTTGCAAAACCATATGCATGAAAGCTAACTATTAAGATAAAGAGAACTTAGGTTCATGTAATTCTCACAAGAAAATCTCATAGGGTTTAGGATTGAAGTCTCATTCCTGCAATTTGTAGAGGCATTTAATCATCTATGATCTTCTGTGATTTAATGGTAGGTGGTGGATTGATCTTCTTTAAGGCCTGATAATGGTATCCAAGTCCTAATCATGCAATAATGCATTAAAACATCAGTCTTTATTGTTTCCTCATTAAATACACAGATTAATTACATTCTAGGAGATAATCCGAGGAAGATGAACTATTTTTGGCTTCGGGGATCGGTATCCAACACAAGTTCACCGCCGGAGTGCATCCATTCCTTGAAATGCATAGATATCCCTTAAAAAACATGAAAATGACATCACAAATCCAACTAAAGGCCATTAAAATTGTCAACTCATATCGGAAAAATATTTACATATGCAAATAAACATCAAAACAGAAGGGGCAAGATAAGCCCTGATGCAGATCATATGAGAATTCAAATCATCATCACTGCAAGTTTGCAACTGAAAATCAAAATGAAATGCATTAGTTCACCATCTGAAAGACATAAATATCAGTTATGGCCAAAACAAAATGGCTACTGGTAAAGGCCATGCAAGATATCCGGAAGGGGGGCAAAATCAATTAAGTTTCCACCGAGTTTTTCCCGTTTTCTCCCATGGAGCATACTCAGAGAATCTCCTGGTTACACTGAGAAGAGAGAATAGCAGTTCCGTCTAAACTAGTAATACCGGTAATGACAGAGGGATCAAGCTCCCAATATCCTCTCCAGTGACTATGGTCTTCTGTGTGCAGGAAAGCTGGAATCTGATGAGAAAATCTGGCAAATTCAGTCTCCAGAATCACATGAACATCGGCAGTAGATCTTTGACTTCTTGGAGCCCTATAAAGTGATTTAGGTCTGTTTACGCATGAGAGAACCATAACTTTCTTGCTCTTTTCATTATCTTCCAATACTTCCACAATGTCACAATCAACTTTACCCAAGTCTGAATCCGCATGGTTCAGACTCTTATATATTGCCCAAACCTCCCCCTTTCTAGGGTAAATTTTGTATTTGTTCTTCCCTATGGGCTCAGCTCTTACTTGATGTGAGACATCATTACAGGAGACAATTTTAGTTTGACCATTTTTAACTTTGAATATCCCGCAACAAATGGGCAGTTTCAAGTCTTTGGGTCTTGAGCACACCTCCAGCAGTGCTACATGCAATTTGCAATCAGGAGTAGCTTTGATCTTTTTAACTTGCACGTAGTCCTTTGGCATTCCATCCCCACAATACAATGCCCATATCTGATCAACTGCAAACTTGTCCACGGATTTCTCCCCCTTAAAATCGTAGCACTCTAAATTTGAAGTTTTCCGTGCTGGAGATGTCAGTGTAGAGACACTAGAGCTTTTAGTAAAATCAACTGTACTATCATCCCTCTCGTGTAGACGCATCTTTCCAACAGGCGGATTCAAGGAAATTATTCCTTCTGTATTACCAAAACTGCCAGGCTTTTCATTTTTGTTGGAAACTGAATGTTTCTTGTCATCTTCCCCAGTGTCATGTTGAATTGCATTTACTTGACTGCTTCTGCTCAAGTCTCTCGGTGACTTACGAGGTTTTAGGCAATCTGTAGAGAGATAAATTTTCTCACTCTTTTTTAGGGTGCTCGTCTTCTCAATAGCATCATCTGAAATAAAACTTCCTTTGGGCTGAGTCAAGTTGCAATCACGTATAGCTTCAAAACTATCATCCTCATTCTTATAATGAACTGCATCAACTTGACCATGATCTTCAAGCATACAACGTGATCCCCTTGTAGATATTCTGGATGCAGAGGCTTCTTTTTTATTGTTACCCTTCTGATTATTTACAAAAGTTAGATTACTCTCTGAATCTATTGTAGCTTTTGCTTGATTGCGAGGATGAATAGGACCGGAACAATTTTCGGCATTGTGATTACCCAGCTTCATATCATTAGAATCAACCAGCTCAAAAAGGTAGGTAGGAAGAGCAGCGGGATCTAACTCAAAAGATCCCATGGGAATACCTGCTCTTTCGTTGCCAGTCATTCTGAGTGAGGGAACTCGATGTGAAAATCTATAAAGCTCACATGATGATATATGAAATGAGACAACCCCATCATGTTCAGCTTGTTGGAAAATACTGACAAACCCTTTCACTTTACACAGATGGGCAACCTCAATGCCAGCTTCCTCATCAAAATCAGCAAGAACCTCAACAAAATCATATTCATATGGTGGTTTATGCTTTTCTGGCTCTGAAACCCATTTAACATTCCAATCTTTGAAGAGAGCCCAAGTTTCCCCTTTTTGAGGATAAACAAAAAAGCATTTTCTGGAACATTTTATGGGGTCTATCTGATGGGAGAACATTAGACGATCTACACATGTCTCTGATGACCCATTGCAGTACTTGCCACAAGAAACAGGCAGATCCAGATCGACCCAGTTCTGCTGATTTTCCTCGTCCGGGTCAGACTCTAGCCAAGTAATTTGTAGCTTGAAGCCAGGAACATACACCTTCTTCACCCGTGCATAAAATCTTGGCATGCCATCCAATGTGTCATATATAGCCCAGACTTGATTAACGGCAAAACAGTCCTCCGCCCTGTACTTTTCAAAATCAGTGAACTCCGGATCAGGATATTCAAGTTCCCGAGATGAATTCACATCTCTACTTGACTCAAAACTGCTATCAAACTGGTGCACCTTATTGTTATCAAGTATAACAGTTTCCTCTTCCTTCCCTTTAGAATCTCCAATTTTCCTTTTCTTGATCAGGACATCATCTTCAGGAGGGGCATTTGCTTTCTGTTCGCCTTCTTTCTTACATACATCTGCAGCAGTGTAACCACCAGAGTTATCCTTTTTCATTACCTCATCTTCAGGAGGGGCATTTGCTTTCTGTTCGCCTTCTTTCTTACATACATCTGCAGCAGTGTAACCACCAGAGTTATCCTTTTTCATTACCTCATCATCCAACTTTTCCTCATTAGCTTTGGGTGGTGGCATTACCTTAGATTTTTTATAAGGGCTTTCAAAATCATCATCATCCGCCAACTTTTCCTCATAAGAAACAGGTTGTTTTTGCCGTGAAGATCTCCTAGGAGGATTGCCTCCACTCACTTCTGAGTTTGCCCCAGTACTATTATTGCAATCTTCCTTACTAACCACATTTTCAACTTTGATTCCACCACCAGTTTCACAACTTTCATCAGACTGCTCTACTGACTTTCTCCTCTTCTTCCTGGCATTTCTTGAAGTTCCTGATTCGTTGGGCTTCGCCACAGTGGGCTCAGGCATTTCAACACCTTTCTTTCTATCTCTCATGTTTGAAAACTCATCTTTCTGAGCTGTAAAACCCTCCTTAGACTGGTTCATTTTAACACCTACTTTCTCTTGTTTCTTAGAATCACCAACCTGATAGCTTCCTGCCTTTGGAATAGGAGCAGACCCAGCAAAGTTATGCTGAAAGTGGACACCAGAAGGCTTGCCACTATTGTGTTGCGAAAATGAGTTACAAGGGTTCTGACTGGAGAACTGACTCCATGGGTATCCCTGAGGACCCAAGTCGTGGGCAATGAAGATACATCTACATGAAAGGCAAGGTAACATCCTGTTCACAAAATCTTTGTTAAACTGGAACTTGAAACCACAAGCACTGCAGCTGGTCCAAAATGTTAGATGTTGTGCCTGCTGATAGGAATTTGATGCTGTGAACTTTGAATAACCATTCTTGTAGTTGTTAGTAAAATCAGACTGACTGTTGCCAGTGGAGGCCTTATTTGAAGGGTGAGAAGTTGGCTTTGGTATAGTTTTCACCGAGACTCTACACTTCAAATCATATTGAGAACGTGTCTTTTGGTCTGTAAGTACCCTGTTTGCTTCCCCAATCAGCTTAAAAGCAGCCTCAGCACCAGGAAATTTATTCTTGTCTGGATGAAGCAATAATGCGAGCTTTCTAAACTGCTTCTTGATTGAACTCTCGTCAGCCGACTGTTCAGTTTGAAGAATCCCGTACAAATCCTTTTCTGACCCGTGTATGTTGTGTTTAGCACAATAGTGAACATTACATACTGCCAACAATTGTGATATGTTGTCAAGTTCAGGGAACAATTTCTGGGCCTTCAGTGCAAACTTCTTTGCACCCTCAAAATCACCATTTTGCATCTTCTGTTCAGCTATTCCCTTTGCTCTGATAGCCTCCTCTTTGTTACATTCCATGGCTGATAGCGCTTCAAGATTAAACAATCGGATTTCAGACTCTATTTATCCTTTGTCTACTATCATACAAAATATTCAACCTGCACCAATGCAACCAAACAACTTTGGTCAAATATATCCAATAACTCTCCAGAAAAAAACCTAAAGTTCAAACAATTCACACCCGACACCCACCATTATAGCAGCAATCACCAAAAGATCAGCAGCTAGCCTCAGCAGTCAATACATCCAGTTTTAAATGAGATGCAACGAACGGCCTTCAGCACCAAACAGTTCCTAGCAGCCGGACTCAAATAAAATCCCAATGTTCACAGAAGCTAAGAACTCAAACCGTAAAGCCTGCAACAACAGTCGAAATATAACAAGTAAAGCCATCAGCCCATTAGTAAATTTTATTCGGATAGCAGCATCAATGTATCTAAACAAGCCAACCAAAACATACCGATTGAAGCCATAGAAAATACAATAAAAACATGAATGGGTCGGATTTCATGGTAAAAAATGACATAAAATCATAGCAACCAACCAACCAACCATATTAACAAGAAATTAAATTAAAATTCATATGGATCTAAGAGGAGTGAGCCCAGAAAAATATGAAAGGAAAAGCACACACATAACAAGTATATATTATGCTTAGTAGTTGGTACATGCCAGACAAAAGATTCAAGTGGAGCAAAACCAGTCCGCATGCAATCATACATTGTCACCAGAAAAATAAATAAAACAAAACAAAATAGCAGCAAGCGGATTTGATTAATTCTTAGCAACTTCGATAAAATATTAAGCAGACACCCTTCTTATTGCCCATTTTCCCATTTTCTCAAGGAACCAAACAAGCCCCCAGTATCCACAGAAACCATAAAACCCAAACTACATCCACCCAAAAGCAGATGGGAAAAAAACCCATAAACACACGAAAACATAAAAACCATCTATGATTTAACCATTGAAGAAGCGGTATATATTATACATAAAAACCATAAACACACGAAAACATAAAACCCAAAGTGCAGGAGACTTTGAAAATCATAAAAAGAAAAAAATTAAGATCTGAATCAGATACTCGAAACAACAAAAGAACAACGAAAAGAAATTTACATTTTAAAAGTAACAATAAACGTGAGGCAAATTCTTACAGTACCTAGGTAGATAGAACTAGTGGTTGTACAGAGTGTGAGGGAAGAAGAAATAAAATAAACAAGAAAAGGGGGGGGGGGGAACTGGGTTTGGAGCGAAAGTTGAAAAGAAGAGAAGACCACTTGAAATTCTTTTGAGAGACTGTTCCCAAGATATTTCTCCTTTTTTTATTTGCAAAATATTGGAGTAAGACCACATTCTACCTTTATTTCTTATGTTTTGTTAGTTTGAGATTAATTCAAACTCTTAACTTAAAGAAATTCTCTTGAAGAAGAACTTAAAGTGGCTACTAGAAATTCTCTTAATTTGAAGTGGCCACTTCTTTTTAGGGTTTAATTTGGTTTCATTGTGGCAATGATCATGGATTAGGTTGTGGGCTTAAGTTTGTTTTTAATTGGGTTTAGGCATTTGAATTTTAATTCATGATATTTATTTAAATTTTATAATATAATTTTTTAATAGTTTGAAGTGATTACGAATAGTATTTGTTTGGATGAGTAAGGTTTTTTCACTCACGAGTCTTCAACTGTTGATGCATAAGTCACCACATTTCGATTTTACATAAAATACATATACCAATTTGATGTGAGATGCGTCATTATACAATGTATAAGTTTTATCATGTTCGGGCTGAATCAGAACAGGTGCTTCAATCAACACAATTTTTAGCTCCTATATTAGACTAGCAAGACGGGGGACTAAGACAGCCTCTAACAACCAGCAATTGTATCGTTTTAGGTGTATTGTGGAGAATCGTTATACAGTACGATAGAGAGTTGGGTAGCTTTGCAATGGCATCGGTGATAGGATTCTCGTCACGCGAGACCCAACGTATATCCATCATCCATCCTTTTGTACGAATCCTGATAATTGCGTGAACTGGTAAAAAGGACGAGGAAACAACATTTCTATCATTGATCATACAATCGGATTGCTTGAAATCCGATTAGACCTGAATTATCTCGAATCCATGCGACCATAAAAAATAGCTCATAATTCTGCATGTAAAGCATCAAGGATCCCTACTGCTTTATGAAAACCAACTAACGAACAATCACTGTTATCCCGGATTAAACCCCCAATAAAACCAAGACTAAAAGTTTGGGAAACAATCTCGTCTACATTAAGGTAGAATCAGCCTGGATTGGGATGCTTCCAGAGTGAGGGGACAGCTTGAAGCGATGGCGAGGAAATGAAAATTTGCGTCTCATCATTGTAGAACTAACCTAATTGGGTCTGATTCGCAGCAGCATTTGCATCAAAAGTGAACTAGTTATTGAAAACCATTTCACTTCTACGCTTTCATATTTGTCAAATAAGAGCAACAAAAAGGATCTTCCATGGTAGATGGATAGCATTTGAGGTTAGATTCAACATGAATTAGTTTTTGATATCTGGTTTAAAGAACGGATCTTCAAGTGGAGGGGGTAAGAATTGCTTCCACAAAGCGATAACATTCGAGCAATCTCGTAAAGCATGTAGAGACGATTTCGAAGCAGCAAGACATCAAGAGATTGTTGTTTATACTTCAAAAAAAAACTTCGACAATTTTATAAGAAGATAATACAACTTACATTATCCAATTTAAGTGACATAACAAAACACATATCATTAAAAAAATTCTTCACCCATGATCTACAAAAAAGTGGAAACATTAACGTTCAATCAGGTGAAAATTTGACAGACTTATTTACTAAGACACTTCTTATTGCAATGTTTGAGAGTTTAATTTTTCAACATTGGATCGAGTTGTTTCCAAGATTTTTAATGATGAATATATGATGGGGAATAAATAGATGTGATACTCTTTTTTTTTATTAATCAAGGTTTTGTCCTTCTAAATTCTCCTAATAAAGTTTTTAATGAGGTGACATGTTATACGTATTAATTATATGCATGCTTTTTCCTTCACTAAGATTTTTTTTCCACACGATTTTTATTTTAGTAAAATTTTAACGAGACATATTATCTTTAAAGACATTCAAGAGGGAGTATAATGAATATTTATTTATGTGGATGTCTATCTTAATATATAAGATATGATTTCAATGTGTTTTATTATCAGATCTTTAATATCCATTAGTATTATAGTTATATATCACATCTACTACTTATAATCATAAATATAAAGATTAGAAAAGCCTCTGGATAAACTTCACATAGAAAAAATAATACAAGATTTTCTCTTTCCTTAAACATATTGTTATTGTTCCTTTTTTTTAATATTATAAAAATATACTCAATTATATTATAATATTTTATTTTAATAATATATAATAAATCATTAAATATTTAACTACTATTTTTCATAAAAATAATAATATTGAATTATTAATTATGAATAATATTTTATGTATTTAATATTAAGTAATATTTTAATATTATTTTAATAATTATATTAATTGTTAATATATTTAAAATATATTTATTAAAAATTTGAAAAAAAATATGTTTATTAATAATTTCAAAATAGAATATAATATTCTTATTTTTAATGTTATAGTTTCTAATATTATAATAGGAATTTCTTATTTTAATAAATAGTTAATATAATAAAATATATTTATTATTTTAATAGTATAATATAGAAGAAAATGATTTATAATAAATAATTTTATAATAATTATCAACTAGTAGAAAATAACTTCCACAACATCAACGAAACTATAAATTTTTTCCAAAAAAATATATATATAATTTATTTAATGTAAACTATTTTTTAGAAAATTAATTTCAGTGTATCAAAGACTCATAATCTATTTGATATAATTGTCATTATGACAACTTAAAAATCGTAAATTCAAACGAGTTAAACGTGCATATCTTAAATTTCGGGTTAACATAGATGTTAAAATTCAAATCTAAATAGGTTTCCCATTTCTAACACTCAAATGAGAAAACATGCAATATAACATTAGAAAGTGAAGGCAACAGCTCTTAGAACAAGATAAAGCAAGGCTGAGTCAAGCTAAACATTGGCTTCCTTAACCAGATTGTACAACCAAGTTTCATATGTAAAAGTAAACCTCTACCTGTTCCATGCGTACACCGTATCAAACACGAAGCCCTTCTCGCCCGTCGTAGTAGAGAAAAACCTGAAAGAATACAACTACATAAGCCCTCAGTCAAAGCGGGAAATAAATCATACATACTACTGTCTCTAACCTCGAAACCATGGTACAATGTTATGCCGGGAAAGTCAGCCATCGCTTGTCCATGTGAAGGCCAAAATAACAATGGTAAGGGAGAAGAAAATGGTCCCACCAGCAAACAACCACATAACCTTGCTTGGTCCATGTTTCGGGCCCTCTTGATCCCCCAACTCAACATCTTTGAGAAGCTCCCTTACTTCATCCATGTCGGAATCCTTGGCTGCTTGGAGAAGTCTACCTTGAATTTTCCCAAGCTTGGTGAGTCTGCTGTCTCTAGTTCCACCCTTAGCTGACCAGATAAAACCAGTCATCTTCCAAAGAAGAATACCCACATAGATGGCAACAACACAATCTACGGAATAATGGTGTCGCTCTCGTATTTCTCGCTGAGCACTGTGCAGAACAAGCAGCCATATAAGAGCTGAGCTATACCCCCCATAAGCCTCCTGAAATTTAACATGTTGGTTCTTAATGTATTACAAAGGCCATTAGAAGATAGGTAGTTGTTTCTGAATGTATTATAACAATACCGTCCATGCCATAGCAGTCAGTACTGCAACTAACATGTGGCCACTGTATACAAGGTCATTGCAACCGCCTCCTGCCAATTTAAGCAGACTGTACCATGAAGATCCTTCCGATGTGGTGGGTCGCAGAAAATCTATTAGGAAGCTCATTGAACCCCAATCCGGACAGTAGTCCACACCGTAATTGCCAGAATCAACTGCAAAGAAAAGGAAAACATTTAATACAGACTTCTAGAGGCAGGGAAGTTAACAGATGGATAAAAAAAACAATAAAACAACTTATAATACAGGCATCGGAATATAAATATATAAATTACCATATGCCATATCCCGTTTATTACTTGACGAATGGCATCAGAATCAGAAGCATATGGAGTATAATATTTCTGAGCCCAATGATGAGGATGTCGAGGGATGATACTATAGCGAGACTTAACACACCATGGCCGGGCTGATGGAAGAATTGTAGATGCAAAAGTTATTGCACGTAAAAGACGGCCAACTGCCATGGTAA